TGACTAAAAGGTAAGCGATATGCAAATTACCTTTGCTGCTGTAGAGGTAAGTTTTTATGCAGCAGAGCGATGAATTGGAATAATAAATGGCATCTTAAGTAATGTAAACAGATTTTTTAAGATGGAAATATTTGTTTTAGGCAGACTGAATGCATTTGTGGAGTAATATTATGTCAAGTAAGCTTGAAACTAAGGCTACTAGGCAAACTAGGTTTCATCGTATTTTATTGCCTGATTTTTTATATTAATAAGTATTCATAATCATGCTACCTAATGAAATTCACTCTAATGTTCAATATTTTAATCTTCATAAAAATTGAAAAATCTTGTAATAAAACTACATTTGCACTGTAGGTGCTATTAAAACCAATTAGCAGAGAAAAAGCAAAGAGGAGGCAAAATGGATAACACGCGATAAATTGAAGGTTTTGAGGTATCGAAAGCCCGCAGTGGAGGGAAATTACCAACAGGAAGCAATTCATTTGCGGAAACAGTGTTATCGTTAAAGTCAACAGTAGCGGGGCGGTGTTTATAGCAAATAATTTCCTGCGGTTGTCTCGGGTTCCTGAGTGGTTTAGCTGTAGCGATTCTGATGCGTACGATAAACGTACCACGAGGGACGGCCGTGAAGAGGCTGTAAAAGTAAACGGCGATAGTTTCGGCTAGTTGTATATCCTTTTTCCCCCATTTCTGGCAAATTCGTAAAAAGGGAAAGAAAATACACCTAATAAAAGGGAACGTATTCAATAGAGCGTTCTATATTCTATGGGAGTGCCACTTGAGTATTTCTCATGAAAAGGATTAAAAGCCGATCCTTTTAACCTGTTAACTCAGTTCACCTCTGAAGCAGAAATTGAATCTGTCTAGTTTACAATTAGAAATGAGTACAAATTATAACCAATTACTTCATTTCGAATTCTGCAAATGGGAATATAATGTATTTTATATTTAACACTGGCATAACAGTACAGTTAAGATGAATAATCTCTCAATAAATAAATTATTGTGTTCTAAGGTGTTACTGTGGTCTTGTGTTCTATTTTTTTGAGGAAACAGTAGGTAGAAATGAAATTAAACTGTTTTTTTTTTATTAAAAAATATATTTCTTATTTAA